CTATTCTTCATCTCCTGATGTTGTTAATTTAGGTAAGCTAATAAACACATTGGTGATATGATTTTTAGTATTGTGTTTCTAAGAGCATCTTGTTCTTTTATGGACAAGATTTTAGGCATAGAGTTAGTTATATAGAATCTTTACCCAAATGATATTGTACCCCTGTTGTTGAAAATGACATGGTATCAATTATCTCCTTAATTGTCATTAAATTGCAATTTCACCAAATTCCATTGTCTATGTTGATTCTCATATGCAAGAAGAAAACCTTAAATAATCATCAAATAGGAACCAAAATTAACTTTGGATTTCAAGAGAAGTAGAGGAAATGCCATTGTGTCAAAAAAGCTCTACATCTTGGTTGATAATCCCAAGTTCACATACAAAAATTAAACAAAAACACAAACTCAAGTTCTCGAACACAATTGGGAAAAGTAAATGTGCATAGCAGCTAATAATAGAATTCTAACTAATAAAACTATCTTACACCTTAATGGCATGCTTCCTTATGGGAAAATACATCTCTCTCTTCTTCTCCCTTTTCGTGTTCAATGATAATAAACCAAAACAAAAGAAAAAAAAAACCCCATATTTAAATAAGACTGAATTATTCCATAAAGGGAATAATTATAGCTGACAAAAGCATATGACAGAGGCATTTGAACTGTTCCATAACGGGAAAAAATTATAAGGAACTAAACCTTCTACCATGTGCTATTGTTTGTTTTAGTGATTCTTTTATCAAAACGACGTACTATTGAATGCTAAGGCTCATGTTATTTGTTTTAGGGAAGTAAAATTTCCTAGAAAAGAAATAAAGCTATTAAAAAAAGTTATCCAAATGTTTACTTCAATTTTTTTGTTTTTGTTTTCTCTGTTTTCATTGGTTTTAATCGTTTGGTTACAGTTTTATCGTTTTATCACTACGGATAAAACATGGATAAACTTGAAAGAAACCTCAAGTCCAGATTACATAGAAGGAGTTTTAAATTTTGTAAATTTTCCATTTGAGAAATCTGCAAAAGCTAGGAAAATATTGTGCCCTTGTAGGAGATGTGCAAACTTAATTTGGTGTACAAAAGAAGAGGTTGTTGATCATTTAGTAGAAAAGGGTTTTCTTAGAAATTATAACTGGACTTCTCATGAGAAGGATTCTGCAGTGGTGAATTCTAGTGAAAACCAAAATGAAGAGGAAATAGCTTTTAATCATGATATGAGAGGGTTGCTACAAGATGCTTTTCCAGGGGCTAATATCAAAGATAGCATCCGCAATGAGGGTGTAGAGAGTTTCAATTCTGGAAGTGCTTTTAACCAAGAACCTTCCATGTCTGGAAATCATATAGATGGCTTGTTTAATTCGTTGAAGGATGCTGGGTAAAAATTATACCCCAATTGTGAAGAGAGTAAGTTAGTTGTTGTTGTGCATTTATTTCACCTAAAATGCTTAAATGGGTGGAGTAATAAGTCTTTCACTCAATTATTAGAGTACTTAAGCTTCTAGTTATTGGAAGGAAATTTGTTCCTATGTCTTATAGTGAAACCAAGAAAATCATTAGAAGTTTAGGCTTAAGTTATGAGAAAATACATGCTTGCCCTAATGATTGCATGTTGTTTTGGAAAGATAAAGCTAATGATATTTTTGTTCAGAGTGTGGTGCTTCGAGATGGATTGTTAACACAAACATTGAAGAAGATTCCATAGATTGCACAATAAAAAAGAAAAAGCCAAAAGCTGCTAAGATCTTGCAATGGTTCCCTTTAATCCCAAGATTACAACGGTTGTACATGTCTTCAAAAACTGCTACTCTTATGAGATGGCATGATGAAGAACGGACTAAGGATGGACTTATTCGCCATCCTGCAGATTCTATTGCTTGGAAGCATTTTGATGAAAAATATCCAGAGTTTGCTGCTGATCCTCGAAATCTACTATTGGGTCTAGCTTCTGATGGATTTAACCCATTCAAGTCAATGACTGTCACATATGGCACCTGGCTTATTATACTAATGCCATACAACCTGCCTCTTTGGTTATGCATGAAGCAACCTAATTTGATATTGTCACTTTTGATTCATGGTCCAAAAGTTCTGGAAACAAAATTGATATCTACATGCAGCCACTCATTGAAGAGTTACAACAACTATGGGACACTGGGATTGAAACTTTTGATGCTTCTAAAAGGGAGAGATTCTAGTTGAAAGCTGCATTATTGTGGACCATCAATGACTCTCCAGCTCTTGCAATTCTGTTCGAGTGGAGTACTAAGGGGGAAAGGCTTGTCCATGCTATGGTTATAATACAAAATCTATGTGGTTATATAACAATAGGAAATATTGTTATATGGTGTTAAGTTCTCTTTGTATTTTGATGATGATTTAAAACCATGATTCAAAAGAGTTTAATCTATTTTTGTGCTAAGTGTGCAGGAAAATTAATCCAAGGTTTCTAATCTTTCCCCACGATTAAAATTAATTCATGTTCACCTTGTTTAGAGTTTTGGATTCGAACCAATTTATTTTGGTTCGAATCAATCCCGAACTTTTGTTTTCCGAAAATGGTTCAAACCATTATTTCTGGCTTCGAAGCAAAAAATTCTGGAAGGTTAAATTTTGACAGCTCATCAATCCGTTTATTCTTATTCTTAATGAGCCTTGGAGGAACCATTGTCTGAGCACTTTCCAAAGTCAAGTCTAAGTTAGTAGAATAAGGTGGAACCTAATTGGGGCAATTGTGAGGTGGCTTTGAAAGGCTAAATGGGTTTTAATTGCAAGGCTCCTAACCAACTATTAAATGGACATCAAAAATCAGATTTGCTGGAAGGAAGAAGGATGAACTGCTCTAGCAATACAGAAAACAGGGTTTGTTTTTGAAAGTGTTCTGGATCTCCTTCTTCTTCTCTTCTTGTGAGCTTTTGGGTTAATTATCTTACAAGGGTTTTGTATTCTTCTTGGATTGGGATAATCCTTGAAGGGGTTAAGTGAGTTGAGATTCAGTTGTGAGGGTTTAATCTTGCACCCGCAAGCAAGAGTTTGTTCCGATTTAATCTTGCACCCGTAAGCAAGAGATTTCTAGTGGATTGAACTCTCGAGCAAGGAGGCTTGGGGAGTGGACGTACTCCGGGTTGGAGGAACCATTATAAATCACGGCTTGATATTCTCTTCCCTTTCTTTTTATTTTTCTACACTTTATTTGTAAGATTGCAGTTGATCTCTATTTTATTTTGCACAACAGATTATGCATATATATTGAAAACTTAATTCTCATTTTTATAAAGGAAAAGAAATGAGTTTTATATCTTAGGAATTGAGGGATAGCTAGCTGGGATTACATATAGGTCATTGGAGATGGCTAGATCGAAGGCATAGGTATTGACATGATAAAAAAATCTTTTGATGGAAACAAGGAGCTTCAAATGCCACTTGGTCGAACATCCAGATCAGAAATTTTGAGTCATGCAGATGATGTGAATATAATGGAAAGGGAATCAAGTCAGCCTTTGAAAAAGATTAGCATTTTCTTCACTCTTCCTTATTGGCAGCACAATCTACTTCCCCACAACATTGATATGATGCACACTGAGAAAAATGTCTTCAATAGCACTTATGGAACAATAACTGACCAAAATGGAAAAACAAAAGACAATTACAAAGGACGCTGTGACCTTCAGCACATGGGGTTGAAGGCTGAGCTACATCCAAAACCAGGATCAAGTAATAACTCTAAGTTACTGCCCAGAGCTTGTTATCAAATGACTGCAAAAGAGAAAGATGCTTTTTTTAAGGTCTTAAAGGACATGAAATTACCTGATGAGTACTCATGTAATATCTCCCATTGTGTTCAAGTCAAACAACGGAAGATAATAGGACTTAAAACTTATGATTGCCATATTCTTATAGAAGAACTTCTACCGGTGGCAACTCGAGTATCTTTGCCTAAAAGAGTTGCTTTAGTTATTATTGAGTTGTGTCAACTCTTCAAATGCTTGTGTGCAAAAGTGTTCAAAGAATTTGATCTTGATGAGTTAAAGTCTCACTCTGTAATACTTTTTGTGAAATGGAAAAGATCTTCCCACCTTCATTCTTCATTGTGATGGTACATCTTGTCATGCATTTGGCAGAAAAGGTAAAGCTTGGTTGGCTAGTTGCTTATAGGTGGATGTACCCCATTGAATGGTTAGTTTAATTCTTAACATTTTTTATTTTTATAATAATTTATTCATTAATTTGCAACAAATCTAAAAAATGTTGACTAATTTATAATTTTCTTAATTGTTTCTAGGTTCCCCCTGACACTCAAGAATTATGTTTGTAATAGTGCTCATCCAAAGGGATCAATAGTAGAAGCTTATTTGTCAAATGAGTGTTTAACGTTCTGTTTAAGATATTTGGAGGGGGTTGAGGCAAGATTTAATAGACCTTTATGTAATGATGATGAAGATGATAGGGAGCATTCTAATGAGGTAGAAGAAAACCTAGTAACTCCTATACGTCGACCATTGGGAAGGGCACAAGTACACATGGCTATTAATCTAAAGAAATGAAAGAGGGTGTGAGGATAAAGCTTGATTCTCAGTCCTTGCTCCAAGCCCACTGATACATTCTTTTTAATACTCATGAAGTCACTCCCTTCATTAAGTAAGTAGGATAAATACATCTTTTTTTTCCTTTCCCCTTTTATATGACTAACCTACCTATTTAATGCTTTTAGGCAACACAAGGATTTTTTAAAGAAACAACATCACTCACCTCGCCTATCACAGTATGAGATCAAAAGGCGTCATTCCTTGACATTTCATGAATGGTTTTGTGATCGAGTAAGTTTAAAGGATAGAAACTAAATGGCATATGATTTTTGACTTCACAAACTAATGTATTAAATTAATATTTTGTGTTAACAGGTTACAAGAATGGAACAACAAGGTTATGCTATTTCTGAAAAAATTAAGTGGCTCTTGAAATGACCAAGTGATGTTGCTCTGACCTATTCTGTATATTTAGTAAATGGATAAGATTCCACACCAAAACTCATGAGAATAACTTGAAAATACAAAATAGTGGGGTGGCAATTATACCAAAAATCACAAGTTATTCTAGTAGAAAGGATAATCAACCAATGGAAGGAGAGATAAATTTCTATGGTGTGTTGCAGCAAATAATTCAATTGAATTATTCTGGCTTCTATAGAGTTGTGCTTTTTAAGTGTGATTGGGCAGACACCCAAAGAGGATGCAAGAAAGATGAATTTGGTTTTACATTGGTCAATTTCAATCATTTATCTCACATTGGTAGTAATCCTAGTGATGACCCCTACATATTCGCTTCTCAAGCTAGTAAAGTGTTTTACATTGAGGATGCAAGAGAAAAAGATTGGCAACTAGTCAAGCATGTGAAGGTTAGATGTGCCTTTGATTTGGGAGAAGTGATACCTATTAGAGAAGATGAAGTGGCTGAAACAGACATGGCATCCACTTGGGTTAGGAGATATACTGAGGAAGAGGGGATTATTGTGACACCAAATATGGAAGTTGAAAACTATGATGAGGAAGAAATGGATGATTAAATTTTAGTTTGTAGTACAAAGTGTAGTTATTAGTTTTTCTAATGAAGGCAATATGTTATTATTTTGTGTAATGTATGACTATTATTTGAAATATAATAATCTAGTTTTTATATTTTTATCTTATTAGTACTTATTACTTTTCAATTGTTTGAACATGGTTGAATAATTGTTATAGATGTATTTATGTAATTCTTCTAAGTTCAGAAACTTGGCTTGCTTTTTCAGTATATATTTTGCCATTAGGATATAAATTCTCATTATTATCATCTTTTTTTGTTTTTCCTTTCGGGATGCCAAAGCGCAAGTGTCTCAATATTGTAAAAGTGTAGTCAAACAACCAAACTACAGCTAGTTTACCCTCTTCTCCATCCATAAACAATGAGGTTGAGCCAAGCCAACAACTTGCTCCATCTCAAAACAATGCAGGTGAGTCAAGCCATCAACATGCTGTCCTAGAAGAAACAAATTATAGAGGTAAAGTTTTTACTTAAATTGTTGTTTTTCAAATTTATAAGATGAATTTATGTGAATTTATAACTTATGAATGCATTTATTATTAGCACCATCTCCACCACCTAGAAAGCCAAGAGGTCCAACATTGATGTCCCACATATGGGAGTTGGAAAAAGGTGTCAAGGTCAACATCAAATTTGATCCAAATTGCCACTCAGTTGGTAAAGAAGGCTGCACCTTGACTCGATTCCTTGGTACTGTTGCAAGAAGATAAGTTGTTGTACCTATTAACTACAAGGAATGGAGGGATATGCCTCAAATTTATAAGGATGACATGTGGAAGATTATTGAGGTAAAAAAAAAAAGGCTTATACTCTTAATAGATTAGTAAACTTGGTGCAAATTTGGTATATTACTTCTCATTTTATAAATTTAAGTAATGTACATACTGATCAAGTTTAGTCAACCTTGATTCTTTTTTTTTTTTTTGTAGGGGGGTGAAATATCTTAGATTGTGTTTTTTCAATTGTTTGATATGAAATTCCTAATTGTGTATGAACTCTTCTAAATGTACATTATAACTGTTAATTTTTCTATTTTTGTTTTTTCAAAACCTGCCTTTACTTTTCACGCTAGGGATTGGATAGTTTGTCTTGTTTACACTGGATGTGATGATATATTTTTCATGTGATTTATTAGCCCGGAAACCATTCAAGATATATATATATATATATATATATTTTGGGTTTGTTCCATTGATTTGTGTTGTTTTTATTTATACATGTGAAGAAAAGAACGTGTTGATATATGTTGATTCTGTGTTTTAACATTTTTGATTGTGATATATGAGCAGATCAGCTGAATTTTGTTAAGTATTCTCATTACAAACAAGATGATCCTGCATTTGTTGGGGACAATGGATATTTTTTTGAATTATAAAGTTATTATGAGTTGGATTTAATGATAATTGGATAAATTGCCATTGATCTGGGCAATTTCTAGATTCTCAAGTCATTTTGCCAGAGCCCAAAAAAATTTTCTTCTGTTCTGCTAAATAATTTAAAGCTTTATTTCTTCTTATTTATTATTTATTTGTTTATGCATATATTTCTTAAAGTGCTTGTTTCTATTTAAACTGACTCCCCTTATCATTCATTAATGCCCATTGGGAGGAACTACCAATTCTAATAAGTTTCTATTTGGTATAAGTTTTTTTGGATGAAAGTTTCATTTTTTACATGTGAAATAGGAGTTTATTTGGTTTAGATTTTAGAGTTGTGTAGGATGAATAGAACTCAGTTCTAATTATGGTGGATCAACTTCTTGTGTGGCTACAGAGGTTTGGGTTGAAGATGAAGCTACATGGTATTTGTTTTGCGGCTTGAAGATGACTTTTCATTGCTATGATATTCTGCTATTGTTATTATTGGTCTTTTTGAATCTCATTTATTTTTGTGGTTTCTAATTTTAGTCCAAGTTCCTTATTGAGGAAAGCCGCAAAGAGCAAATCAAGAGTTGGATTATGACTGATGTTTATGAAAAATGGAAAAGCTATAAAAATGAGCTAAAAAGTGCAGGATTTGATCCATTGCTAATAGTAGATGAAATGTATGATAAGATTAATGATCATTGAGTTGATAAGGAGCAATTTGAAGTGCTTGTTGAATATTGGCATAGTGAGAAGGGAGAGGTATGACAATTTTGTTGTGCAGTTGACATATTGCCTAATTTTCTATTATCACAAATAACTTATACCTTATGTTTTCTTCTAGAAAATTAGCAAACAAAACAAAGAAAATAGGCAAAAACTTGAAGAGCCCCATTGCCTAGGCATTAAGACTTTTGCACGATTTGTCAATGAGAAAGTAATTGATTTTTTCTGCTCAAGCTACTTTATTAAAAAAAGTAGTGTCAATGATGTTAGATTAGTAATAAATTAAATTGTTATCCTATTTTCCTTTTTTTAGTATAATTGCTTAAAGGTAGATTATAATTTTATTATTTATTGCTTTTTTATTTTCCAGGAAAGCTCTACTGAAGGGAGAAAGTCGTCAAGGGTTGAACTCTACCTTCAAAGTTGAGCAAAAAATGAAGGGGGACCTGTAAGTGAAAAGGCAAGCCAAGTGATGGTTAGTAAACACAAACTTTGTGTTTTTAATGATGTATGCTTTTCTTCATTGTATAAAAAAAAAATAAGGAGTTAATTTTGGGTTAAATGTCATAGGAACAACTTAAAAAAACTACATGAGTGAGTCAACTTCTTTTGCAAATGCATTAGAGGAAACTACATCTTGGCGAGATGATGTATTGTCTAAGGTGAAGGGATCTGACAAGAATGGCAGGGTTCGCTGCTTAGGGAAGGTTCCAACTTCCAAAAAATCTGTCCCTTCCACGTCTACAAATAGCAATGTTGAGGAAAGGTTGAGTGAGGTAGAGAATATGTTAGGTGGATTAATGTAGCTAATGAAGGCAAGATTCTTGGACGAGAATATCACAGATATTGTACAAGCTGCCAACTAATTAGGTGTTGCCAATAGATTAGATAGAGAGGTGAACTTCTTTTGTTCAACCATTACAACTTGACCATTTTTTCTTTGTATTCTTGCATATATATGGTTTGGTAAATGACAGATAGATTTTTCATGATGAACTTTGATGTGACATATTTTACTTTTTATTTTTATTTTCTTTATTTATTTTGATCTTTTCAATCAAATCCTTCCATTTTATTTCAAGTAATTTTTTGTTTCTAGTAATCGGATCCTTATATCATTACCATTTTAATAAAGTTACCTTATGTTTTCTTCTTTTATTTATTTGTTCAATCTTCTTTTCTTAGTTTCTCATCTCTTCTATTTAGTTTTTGGTGAGTTTATGTTTTTGTTCTTTTCAATTTTCATTTCAAATCTATACTCATTGAATTTTATGTGTAATGATTTTATGTGTCACAATTATAGTTATTTATGTAAAAATATTCAGACACAAAAAGTGTCTTATTTATAATCTTTATATCTTGTCACAAA